GACTAGACTATAGACTAGACTATAGACTAGACTATAGACTAGACTATAGACTAGACTATAGACTAGACTATAGACTAGACTATAGACTAGACTATAGACTAGACTATAGACTAGACTATAGACTAGACTATAGACTAGACTATAGACTAGACTATAGACTAGACTATAGACTAAACTATAGACTAGACTATAGACTAGACTATAGACTAGACTATAGACTAACTAGACTATAGACTAGACTATAGACTAAACTATAGACTAACTATAGACTAGACTATAGACTAGACTATAGACTAGACTATAGACTAGACTATAGACTAGACTATAGACTAGACTATAGACTAGACTATAGACTAGACTATAGACTAGACTATAGACTAGACTATAGACTAGACTATAGACTAGACTATAGACTAGACTATAGACTAGACTATAGACTAGACTATAGACTAGACTATAGACTAGACTATAGACTAGACTATAGACTAGACTATAGACTAGACTATAGACTAGACTATAGACTAGACTATAGACTAGACTATAGACTAGACTATAGACTAGACTATAGACTAGACTATAGACTAGACTATAGACTAGACTATAGACTAGACTATAGACTAGACTATAGACTAGACTAGACTATAGACTAGACTATAGACTAGACTATAGACTAGACTATAGACTAGACTATAGACTAGACTATAGACTAGACTATAGACTAGACTATAGACTAGACTATAGACTAGACTATAGACTAGACTATAGACTAGACTATAGACTAGACTATAGACTAGACTATAGACTAGACTATAGACTAGACTATAGACTAGACTATAGACTAGACTATAGACTAGACTATAGACCTAGACTATAGACTAGACTATAGACTAGACTATAGACTAGACTATAGACTATAGACTAGACTATAGACTAGACTATAGACTAGACTATAGACTAGACTATAGACTAGACTATAGACTAGACTATAGACTAGACTATAGACTAGACTATAGACTAGTCTATAGTCTAGTCTATAGTCTAGTCTATAGTCTAGTCTATAGTCTAGTCTATAGTCTAGTCTATAGTCTAGTCTATAGTCTAGTCTATAGTCTAGTCTATAGTCTAGTCTATAGTCTAGTCTATAGTCTAGTCTATAGTCTAGTCTATAGTCTAGACTAGACTATTGACTAGACTATAGACTAGACTATAGACTAGACTATAGACTAGACTATAGACTAGACTATAGACTAGACTATAGACTAGACTATAGACTAGACTATTGACTAGACTATAGTCTGGACTATAAAATGTACAATACACTGTACAATGGTCTGGACTTGACTGTAGTCTATGCTATATTCTATATATATATTCTATTTATAACCGATGCTATAGTCTAGTTTGCAGTCCATATTCTATAGTCTCGGCTACAGTTATATCTATAGCTTAGTGGAGTCTAGACTCATTTACAGTAGGGAACCTCCCTAATGTTTATTTAACTTAAATATCCATTTGTTTATAAACAAACATGACCTATTGACTATAAAATAAAACTGTTCAATGATAAATTTAACGGCTTCATATTAGATATTGGTATTTACAATATACATATCGTCAGCTAAAACGCAAACAGCCCTATCTAACATTTTTAAAATTTTACAGTTGAAGCAAAAATCTATTTAAATTGAAAAGTTTGTTTCTATCAGCTTGTTCCTAAACATGAAATATTATGAGTATAAACAATTCAAAACCCCTACCTCTTATATGATCCAAACATACAACTTTGGACTACAACAAAAACACAACCCTCTCTATTCATTTCCAACTTTTTAAATAAACAAATCAATATCGATGGCATCTAATGATCGCCTGCTGTTTTAAACATTTTTATTGGTATAAATTTGTGATTGTACTTTTTTTTTGGATATTTATTTTTGATACAAATAAACAATTTTTGTTATTGTTTATATTGTTAAGTCAATCATTAAACAAATTTTATTAATTCAAATAAATAATTCAGCTTTTCAATAAACAAACAAATTATTTATCTTTAAAAGTATATTAACAATTTGGCAAGTGGTTTAAAAGTAATTTATAGCAGTATCAAAAATTTGACCATAGAAACTAAAAATAACTGATAAATTTTTTTTACTTGCGGCATTTGCTAACTTTTGGCATTTTAAAGTTCAATTAAAGATTATTCGCTGAAGGGGACTTTATTTTTGAAAGTAATAAATAAGTATTTTTGTGCATAATTAGGTTTCTTTGTTAGAAATAAACGATTTTATTGATGTTATTAAGAGAAGAAAATAGTTAGGGAAATGTCTTAATCTGAAAAAGTTTAGACTAGAAAGAACACTAGCTAGTCTATCATTTAGACTATAGTCTATAGTCCAGACTATATACCAGTCTAAACTTTAGACTATAATCTAGAATATATTCTCGACTATGGCCTAGACAGCAGCCCAGACATTAGTATTGTCTAGAGAACAGTTTGGTTTATATTTCAGACTATAGCCTTGTCTATAGTCTGGACTACACACTTGTCTGTAGTCTGGACTTCAGACTTGTCTATAGTTTGAACTACAGACCAGTCTAGTCTATAGTCCAGTCTATATAAAGCCTATTTTCTACTATATAATCTAGTATATAGTACTGTCTATACTTTAGTCCAAAGTCTAGTTTATAGTCTTGTCTATATTCTAGTTTTTAGTCTAGCCTGTACTCTAGTCTATAGCTCAGTCTATAGTCTAATCTATAGTCTAGAATATAGTCTGGACTATAGTCTGGTCTATGGTCTAGTCTATAGTTTAGTCTATGGTCTAGTCTATAGTTTAGTCTATAGTCTAGTCTATAGTCTAGTCTATAGTCTAGTGTATAGTCTAGTCTATAGTCTAGTCTAGTCTATAGTCTAGTCTATAGTCTAGTGTATAGTCTAGTCTATAGTCTAGTGTATAGTCTAATGTATAGTCTAGGGTATAGTCTAGTCTATAGTCTAGTCTATAGTCTAATCTACAGTCTAGTATAAATCTGGTCTATAGTCTGGTCTATAATCTATAGTTTAGTCTATAATATAGTCTACAGTCTCTTCTATAATCTAGTCTATAGTATGGTCTAATGTTTAGTCTTTAGTCTAGTCTATTCTATAGTCTTGTCTATAGTCTAGACTATAGTCTATTCTATAGTCTTGTCTATTGGTTGGTTTACGTGGTAGTTCACTACGCGCGAACAGTCAAGTAGAGTCAAGAAACTCTGGTTTGGTCTAGTCTATTCTATAGTCTAGTCTATAGTCTAGTCTATAGTCTAGTCTATAGTCTAGTCTATAGTCTAGTCTATAGTCTAGTCTATAGTCTAGTCTATAGTCTAGTCTATAGTCTAGTCTATAGTCTAGTCTATAGTCTAGTCTATAGTCTAGTCTATAGTCTAGTCTATAGTCTAGTCTATAGTCTAGTCTATAGTCTAGTCTATAGTCTAGTCTATAGTCTAGTCTATAGTCTAGTCTATAGTCTAGTCTATAGTCTAGTCTATAGTCTAGTCTATAGTCTAGTCTAGTCTAGTCTATAGTCTAGTCTATAGTCTAGTCTATAGTCTAGTCTATAGTCTAGTCTATAGTCTAGTCTATAGTCTAGTCTATAGTCTAGTCTATAGTCTAGTCTATAGTCCAGTCTATAGTCTAGTCTATAGTCTAGCCTATAGTCTAGTCTATAGTCTAGTCTATAGTCTAGTCTATAGTCTAGTCTATAGTCTTGCCTATAGTCTAGTCTATAGTCTAGTCTATAGTCTAGTCTATAGTCTAGTCTATAGTCTAGTCTATAGTCTAGTCTATAGTCTAGTCTATAGTCTAGTCTAAAGTCTAGTCTATAGTCTAGTCTATAGTCTAGTCTATAGTCTAGTGTATAGTCTAGTCTATAGTCTAGTCTATAGTGTAGTCTATAGTCTAGTGTATAGTCTAGTCTATAGTCTAGTGTATAGTCTAGTCTATAGTCTAGTCTATAGTCTAGTCTATAGTCTAGTCTATAGTCTAGTCTATAGTCTAGTCTATAGTCTAGTCTATAGTCTAGTCTATAGTCTAGTCTATAGTCTAGTCTATAGTCTAGTCTATAGTCTAGTCTATAGTCTAGTCTATAGTCTAGTCTATAGTCTAGTCTATAGTCTAGTCTATAGTCTAGTCTATAGTCTAGTCTATAGTCTAGTCTATAGCTATAGTCTAGTCTATAGTCTAGTCTATAGTCTAGTCTATAGTCTAGTCTATAGTCTAGTCTATAGTCTAGTCTATAGTCTAGTCTATAGTCTAGCCTATAGTCTAGTCTATAGTCTAGTCTATAGGTCTAGTCTATAGTCTAGTCTATAGTCTAGTCTATAGTCTAGTCTATAGTCTAGTCTATAGTCTAGTCTATAGTCTAGTCTATAGTCTAGTCTATTCGACGGCCTAATCTGAATATATTGTAGTCTCTAGTCCAGATTATGATTTAGTTTAATTTTCAGATTATAGTCTAGTTTACAATCTGGGCCGTAGTCCGTATAGTCTTATACATAGTAAAGTCTATAGTCCAAGCTATAGTCTATAATCCAGACTACAATCTAGACTATAGTGTTGTTAACAGTTCTAGTTATATGTTGTCTATAGTACAGACAATATTTAGTCTAAGCTATAGTATATAATCCAGGCTGTAGTCCATAACATATGTTGTTTAGTCTATAGTCCTGTTAATTGTCCTATTTGTGATCTAGTAGTCTTTACTAGTCTATAGTGTAGTATAGTTAAGATTTGATATGGTGATCTTTACAAGATTCTTAACATTCAATTTCTACTGAAACCACTGTACATTAATGATTACTCTCTCTCTTAGATGTAGAATTTTAACACTCTCATATGTTAAGAGCACTTTAACGTTTTATTGCCTTCAATAATAAAAAACTTAGTGTGTGTAGAAAACCCCCCATGAAAAAGCTTAATTTTTGTCACAATTATAAATTTTGTATACAAAATTTGAAAAAAGAAACGATCAGTTGAGTTTGCGATTTGAAATACAGAAAACAAACGATAATGAAGCGCGGGTGTTAAAGACAAGAAAAAAACAAAATAAATATTTATAAAAAAATTTTAATTTTAAAAATAATTAACTAATAAAAGTAATGCTTAAATATAATAATTAAAAGAAAAAAAATTAACAAAATTTATTAAAAATGTTATACGGTTTAATAAAATTAACATGGTTCGATATAACCACCGTCGGTTTTACGGTAGTGGCGATTGTTTTGGTGCAAATATTAAATGCTATATGGTCATCAATAGATGATAAAACGGCATCATCACCATCACCACCAACAAGTGATAATAATGGAGTGAGAAAATCGTTAAAAATAAATGAATTGAAATCTTTAATATCTAGTGATTCTACAACAAATGATTCAAATACGAATACTGCAACAACAACAAATGGCAAATTACAAAAACAACAAAGTGAACAAATTGAAAAGTATGTGTCAAAATTTGTTTGAAAATAAAAAATTTTTAAAAGATTTTTTTTATATTTAAAAAGTTGTTTTGTTGAGAATGTGTGTTCTGGCTAATTTGCAACATGTGTTTGTTGATTAAAATGTAAAGAAAAATATTATTAAATTATTTTTAATAATTTATAAAAATAAATTGCATGCTTTGGGAAAATGGAGAGAATTTAAAAATATTCTTTTACAAATTGATTAGATAATTTTTGAAATTTAAAAAAAAATTATCTAATAAAACATGTTTTTGAAAAAAAAAATCTAATTCAATTTCTATGAACAGAAATTTTTTAAATAAAAAAATCTTGTTTGTTAATTATTTTGTTATTGTTTTGGTTTAATTTTCTTGTTTTTTTTAATGTTATCATTATCAAAGTGGTTCATTATCAACAAATTCGTCATCATTGTCAACACCAATATCGCCACCACCTCCTCCGCCACCACTACCCCCTTTATTATCATCATTTTCGCTTTCATCTTTATCATCGACAGCTTCTTCGTATCCTATAAATGTTCGTAATTCGGTGAGTTATCTATTTAATGGTAACGGCGTTAGCATTCCATCAATCCACCCTACAACCAGTCTACCCGATAATTTAAGTGATGAATAGTAAGTTTCATACAAAATGCTTTATTTATTGTATAATTCATTTAGTTAGTATCTAAATAAGAATCTTAAGAATTGAGGTGATAAGAGGTCTAGTATATCGTCTAGGTTTAGTCTACCGTCTACTTAATAGCAGAGGACTATTGTTAATATATAGACTGGATTATAGTGTCGACTATAGTCTGGTATGTAGTTTGGACTATAGTCTGGACTATAATATGGACTATAGTCTGGAATAAAGTGTGGACTATAATTTGGTTTATAATGTGGACTATAGTCTGGTCTATAGTTTGGACTATAGTCTGGTCTATAGTTTGGATAATAGTCTGGACTATAGTCTGGTTTACAGTCTGGACTATAGTCTGGAATATAGTCTGGACTATAATCTCTATAGTCTGGTCTATAGTCTGGTCTATAGTCTGATCTATAGTCTGGTCTATAGTCTGGTCTATAGTCTGGTCTATAGTCTGGTCTATAGTCTGGTCTATAGTCTAGACTATAGTCTGGTCTATAGTTTGTAGTATAGTCTGGTCTATAGTCTGGACTATAGTTTGGTCCAGACTATGGTGCAGACTATAGATCAGACTATAGTCCTGACTATACTATAGTCTGGTCTATAGTCTGAACTATAGTAAAGTCTATTGTCTACACTATAGTCTGGTCTATAGTCTGGACTATAGACTGGTCTATAGTCTGGACTGTAGTCTGGTCTATAGTCTGGACTATAATCTGATCTATAGTTTGGACTATAGTCTGCACTATAGTCTGGACTATAGTCTGCACTATAGTCTGGACTATAGTCTGCACTATAGTCTGGACTATAGTCTGCACCATAGTCTGGACTATAGTCTGCACTATAGTCTGAACTATAGTCTGGCCTATAGTCTGGACTATAGTCTGGTCTATAGTCTGGACTATAATCTGGTCTATAGTCTGGACTATAATGTGGCCTATAGTCTATTGTCTGAACCATAGTAAAGTCTATGGCCTGCAGTATAGTCTAGTCTATTGTTGGGACTATAGTCAAGTCTTTAGTCTGGACTATAGTCTAGTCTATAGCTGGACTTTAGTCTAGTTTATAGTCTGGACTATATTATAGTCTATAGACTGTGATCTAGACTATAGTATGGACTATAGTGTAATCTATAGTCTGGACCATAGTATAGTCTAAAGTCTGGACTATAGTATAATCAATTGTGTGGACTATAGTCTAGTCTATAGTTTTGATAATTGTCCAGTGTCGTTTATAGTCTCGTCTATAGTCTGGACAACAGTTTTATCTATTGTCTGGACTATAGTCTCGTTTCGTCTATAGATAATCTTCTCTATAGTCATATCTAAAGTCTTATGTTTAGTCTGGACTATAGTCTGAACTATATATTATTCTATATAAATATTATACGCTCCTCTATAATCATATCAATATTATTGTCTATAGTCTGGACAGTACTATCATTTATTGTCGGGACTATAATCTCATCTATGGCCTGACTTATAGTCAAGTATTTAGTCTGGACTTTTGTATAGTCTATAGGCTTTACTATAGTCTAGGCTATAGTCTGGACAAGAGTATTTTCTATAGTGTCGTCTTTAGTCTGTATTATAGTCTAGTCTATAGTCTGGATTATATTCTAAATGGGTTAATATAATTTGGACTTTTATCACCTTATTCTAGTAGTTTACAAAGAACATTTAAATCAAATTTCCTTTTGGAACAGATATTAATATTTTTCTAACCTCACTTTACTACAGCCACGAAGATGAGGACACCATCTCTTTGGAAAATTTATTCCCCTGCGATCAAAGCGAAATATATGCCTCGAAGAAAATCAGTTATATTATTGATGAATTCATACAAACCGAAGGAAATTATGTGAATAATCTTAAAAAGGGCCTAAAAAATTATGGCAATCTACAGAAATACGATCAATTACCCGAAGCCCTAAAAGGCGATGATAAACAGCAGCAACTGTTGGGCAATATAGCGGAAATATTGGAATTACACGAAAAGGAAATTTTACCCTTAATGTTAAGAAATCAAAGGGATTTGAAAAGTATGTTCGATGAAATGGCACAAAGTATAGATGTAAGTAAAGAGATCGTGATTTTGTTTCTAATTTTTGTATAATTTTTTCGAAAAAAAAAAATTTTTTTTGTGTTTGTTTTTTGTTTTTGTAGGAATTTTTATTATTTGTTTATAATTTTAACACCTGTTGCTAAATATGGCTAAATGAGCTTCATTTGTGTGTGATTTTTTTTTAAATTTTTTCACATTTGGTTAGAATATATTTAATGAATTGACATATTTCTCTACTGTTTTGCTAATAAGCAGAGAGGGAAAAGTATTAATTGTTAAATAAACATAATTATTAATTATGTGGCTTAACTATATTATACTGCATATAAACTAAAACACTCGTGGCCAGACTGAATAATGTATTTCCGTTTTGCAAATTGTGACGAAAACGCAATTTCGTAAAAGGCTTTGTGCATAATTTATTTTATACCTATTTTGGACTTGAAGTTAATAATATTTATAAAATATATTGTATAATAATTGTTTGTAATTGTATGAATTTAAAAACTGTTTAAACTTTGTTTTTGTTTTATGGCAATGATGACAATTTGTTTATATTTATTTTCAATCGAATTCTAGGAAATTTCACGTTCATGATAAGAAATTATAAATATTATTCTTTTATGCAATGTGGATACACAAACCATGCTATTTACCCATGGTTATTACTTACTTATTTAACGTATATTAATAACTATTTAAAAAAAGAATACATGTGTAATAGAAACAAACTCTTCAGGGAAATTGAACGGGCGATTAGAATGGAAAACATGCAAAATGTTTAAAAATCCCCAATTTTTAAATAGTCTACAAAACAATTAGCAAAACTTTTGTGAATGATAGTCCAGGCCTTCAGTACCTTTTCTAACTAATAAACTTCTGATAAAAAGTTCACATAGTATTCAGTCTATAGTTTAGTATAGCCTATAGTCTAATCTATAGTTTAATCTATAGTCTAGCCTATAGTCCTGTCTATAGTCTAGTCTAAAGTCTAGTTTATAGTCTAGTTTATAGTCTAGTCTATAGTCTAGTCTATAGTCTAGTCTATAGTCTAGTCTATAGTCTAGTCTATAGTCTAGTCTATATCTAGTCTATAGTCTAGTCTATAGTCTAGTCTTAGTCTAGTCTATAGTCTAGTCTATAGTCTAGTCTATAGTCTAGTCTATAGTCTAGTCTATAGTCTAGCTCTATAGTCTAGTCATAGTCTAGTCTATAGTCTCGTCTATAGTCTAGTCTATAGTCTAGTCTAGTCTATATGTCTAGTCTATAGTCTAGGTCATAGTCTAGTCTATAGTCCTAGTCTATAGTCTAGTCTATAGTCTAGTCTATAGTCTAGTCTAGTTAGTCTAGTCTAGTAGTCTAGTAGTCTAGTCTATAGTCTAGTCTATAGTCTAGTCTATAGTCTAGTCTATAGTCTCTAGTCTAGTCTATAGTCTAGTCTATAGTCTAGTCCTATAGTCTAGTCTATAGTCTAGTCTATAGTCTAGTCTATAGTCTAGTCTATAGTCTAGTCTAGTCTAGTCTAGTCTATAGTCTAGTCTATAGTCTAGTCTATAGTCTAGTCTATAGTCTAGTCTATAGTCTAGTCTATAGTCTAGTCTATAGTCTAGTCTATAGTCTAGTCTATAGTCTAGTCTATAGTCTAGTCTATAGTCTAGTCTATAGTCTAGTCTATAGTCTAGTCTATAGTCTAGTCTATAGTCTAGTCTATAGTCTAGTCTATAGTCTAGTCTATAGTCTAGTCTATAGTCTAGTCTATAGTCTAGTCTATAGTCTAGTCTATAGTCTAGTCTATAGTCTAGTCTATAGTCTAGTCTATAGTCTAGTCTATAGTCTAGTCTATAGTCTAGTCTATAGTCTAGTTCTATAGTCTAGTCTATAGTCTAGTCTATAGTCTATAGTCTAGTCTATAGTCTAGTCTATAGTCTAGTCTATAGTCTAGTCTATAGTCTAGTCTATAGTCTAGTCTATAGTCTAGTCTATAGTCTAGTCTATAGTCTAGTCTATAGTCTAATCTATAGTCTAGTCTATAGTCTAGTCTATAGTCTAGTCTATAGTCTAGTCTATAGTCTAGTCTATAGTCTAGTCTATAGTCTAGTCTATAGTCTAGTCTATAGTCTAGTCTATAGTCTAGTCTAGTCTAGTCTATAGTCTAGTCTAGTCTATAGTCTAGTCTAGTCTATAGTCTAGTCTAGTCTATAGTCTAGTCTAGTCTATAGTCTAGTCTAGTCTATAGTCTAGTCTATAGTCTAGTCTATAGTCTAGTCTATAGTCTAGTCTATAGTCTAGTCTATAGTCTAGTCTATAGTCTAGTCTATGGTCTAGTCTGTAGTCTAGTGTATAGTCTAGTCTATAGTCTAGTCTAGTCTAGTGTAGTGTAGTGTAGTGTAGTCTAGTCTAGTCTAGTCTAGTCTAGTCTAGTCTATAGTCTAGTCTATTCTATAGTCTAGTCTAGTCTATAGTCTAGTCTATAGTCTATAGTACAGTTTATAGTCTAGTCTACAACAATAGAACGTAATTACAATAAGCTGCTCTATAGTGAAGAATATAAACTGTTCTAGACTCCAGATTATAGATTGCTCTTTAGCTAAGACCCATAGACTTTTTATAGTCGAATTTAATATGTATAAGAAAAAAATATGTAAATTTAATAATGAAACAAAAACAAATTGTATTAGTTATGTCAAATCACTTACCTTTTTAATTTGTTGTTCAAATAATGATATTCTCTCAAATAATGATGTATTGCCTTGCATACAAAAACAATAATTCCATTTTGCAACACATGTATATTTACAAACATACGCACCAACTCTTTTTCTTTAAGTTTTTTTTTTTTCATTATTTCTTTGACATTTTTTCAATTTTTTTTTCCAAACTCTCTCACTATACCCTTTGATTAATGCTTTTTCATCACTTCACCAAACGAAAGGCACGACAAAAGAAAACCACCGAAGCGTAGCGATGCTCGGCCTAACGAAATGCATTGAATTTTTTGCAAATTAAAAAAAAAAAAACACTTTTTAAATGAATAATTTAACACTTTTTTGACAAATAATATACAGTTTTTTTTATAAGCAATTTTCCATAATGGTATTTATAAACAATTCTCCACAAAATATTTAAATATTACCAATTTATTAACTCTTTAGATTAATTTAAACAGGACTATTAACATTAAACAACCGAACACTTTAGAAATTTTTAGCAACTAAAGAAGAAGAAAAATAACTAAAGCAACAAATGGTAAAAGAACTTGTCATTGTTGTTGTTATTACTCTATTTAAAGAGCAAATATCCAATAACAATAACAACAACTCCACTATGTGATGAATGCTTTTTGTTATTGTTCCATTTCATTAGGTTTCTTAATATTTCTAAATTGTTCGATTGTTTAGGGTTAAAGGTACTGCTTAAACATTAATTAATTGTCAATAATAAAATATTTTTGTTGCATAATATTAAACAAAAGTTAATTTTTATTGGTGTAAAGAAATATTTATGAAAAAAGTTTTAGAAATTAGTAAAAAGCGTTAGGAAATTTAATAAAAATGTACAATTTGGCAATTTTGATAAGACAATTTTGTTAGAAGATGTCATTTTCGTTGTTTCTTGGTTTCCAGGGCCAATCGTAAGCCAAAGAGTGTCTTGTTGAGTGGGAGTGCAGAAGGAGGTATACATCATTAACATATAGTCTATAGACTATAGATATAGTCTAGACTATATATAGTTTGGTCTATAGTCTAGTCTATAGTGCAGTCTATAGTCTAGTCTATAGTCTAGTCTATAGTTTAGTCTATAGTCTAGTCTATAGTTTAGTCTAGTCTATAGTTTAGTCTATAGTCTAGTCTATAGTTTAGTCTATAGTCTAGTCTATAGTCTAGTCTGATAGTCTAGTCTCTAGTCTAGTCTATGTCTATAGTATAGTCTAGTCTAGCCCTATATGTCTAGTCTATAGTGTCTAGATCTATAGTTTAGTCCTAGTCTATAGTTTAGTCATAGTCTTAGTTTATAGTCTAGTCTATAGTTCTAGTCTATAGTCTAGGGTCTATAGTCTAGTCTATAGTCTAGTCTATAGTCTAGTCTATAGGTCTAGTCTATCGTCTAGTCTTATAGTCTAGTCTATAGTCTAGTCCTATAGGTCTAGTCTATAGTCTAGTCTATAGTCTAGTATATAGTCTAGTCTATAGTCAGTCTATAGTCTAGTCTATAGTCTAGTCCTATAGTCTAGTCTATAGTCTAGTCTATAGTCTAGTCTATAGTCTAGGGCCTATAGTCTAGTCTATAGTCTAGTCTATAGTCTAGTCTGTAGCTAGTCTATAGTCTAGTCTATAGTCTAGTCTATAGTCTAGTCTATAGTCTAGTCTATAGTCTAGTCTATAGTCTAGTCTATAGTCTAGTCTAGTCTAGTCTATAGTCTAGTCTATAGTCTATAGTCTAGTCTATAGTCTATAGTCTAGTCTATAGTCTAGTCTATAGTCTAGTCTATAGTCTAGTCTATAGTCTAGTCTATAGTCTAGTCTATAGTCTAGTCTATAGTCTAGTCTATAGTCTAGTCTATAGTCTAGTCTATAGTCTAGTCTATAGTCTAGTCTATAGTCTAGTATATAGTCTACTATATAGTCTAGTCTATAGTCTAGCCTATAGTCTAGTCTATAGTTTAGTCTAGTCTATAGTTTAGTCTAGTCTATAGTTTAGTCTATAGTCTAGTCTATAGTCTAGTCTATAGTCTAGTCTATAGTCTAGTCTATAGTCTAGTCTATAGTTTAGTCTATAGTCTAGTCTATAGTCTAGTCTATAGTCTAGTCTATAGTCTAGTCTATAGTCTAGTATATAGTCTAGTCTATAGTCTAGTCTATAGTCTAGTCTATAGTCTAGTCTATAGTCTAGTCTATAGTCTAGTCTATAGTCTAGTCTATAGTCTAGTCTATAGTCTAGTCTATAGTCTAGTCTATAGTCTAGTCTATAGTCTAGTCTAGTCTATAGTCTAGTCTATAGTCTAGTCTATA